TCTGTGAAGCATCTCATAACATGGATGAAACTGGAGAACACTATGCTGAGTGAAATAAGTCAATCACAAAAGGACAAATATTGTATGAGACCTCTACTATAAAAACTCACACACAAAAAGAAATAATCTTTGTTGGTTATAAGGGATGGGAGGGGTGGGAGGGGGAAATACTAAATAGACAATAGATAATTGGTAACTTTGGTGAAGGTTAAGACAGTACACAATACTGGGGAAGCCAGCACAACTTGTACAAGGAAAGGTCATGGAAGTTCCATAGACACTTCCAAACCCCCGGAGGAACTGAAGTGCTGGGCAGAGGGCTGTGGGGACCATGGTCTTGGGGAACATCTAGCTCAATACATAACACAGTTTATAAAGACAATGTTCTACATTCTACCTTGGTGAGTAGCATCTGGGGTCTTAAAAGCCTCTGGAGCAGCCATTTAAGATACTCCACTGGTCTCACCCCTTCGGGAGCAACGGAGAATGAACAGAACAAGATACAAGGAAAAGATCAGTCCAGAGGACTAACGGACCACAACCACCATGGCCTCCACCAGACTGAGTCCAGTATAACTAGATGGTGCCTGACTACCATCACTGACTGCTCTGACAGGGATCACAACAGAGGGTCCCAGACAGAGCTGGAGGAAAATGTAGAACAAAATTCTAACTCACAAAAAAGACTAGACTTACTGGCCTGACAAAGACTGGAGGAACCCTGAGAGTATGGCCCCTGGACACCCTTTTAGCTCAGTGGTGAAGTCACTCTTGAGGTCCACCGTTCAGCCAAAGATTAGACAGCCCCATAAAACAAAATGAGACTAATGGGGCACAACAGTCCAGGGACAAGGACTAGAAGGCAGGAGGGGACAGGAAAGCCGGCAATAGGGAACCCAAGGTTGAGAAGGGACAGTGTTGACATGTCATGGGGTTGTTAACCACTGTCATAAAACAATATGTGTACTGTTTAATGAGAAACAATTTGTTCTGTAAACCTTCATCTAAAGTACAATTAAAAAAAATAAAGAAAAAAAATAGTGTAGGTAGTATAATAAGCACTCTATAGTCAACATCATGAATTGTGTCTGCCTTTATCACTAATAAATGATTTTCAGTAATGGAAAATCTCAATTTTTAGGCATGTTGTTTTCCATTTTGACACAGAAAGATCAGCAGGTGGTGTTAAACAAAAAAAAAAAAAAAAAGAGAGAGAGAGGAAAAGTACTTTGAACCCATTATAGCACTAAATGGAAATGAATAAGCAAATAAGAGAGACATTTTATAACCATACAGGTAAGCAAGTAAAATCTAGACTTAGAGAAACAAGTGATAGAAATTGGAATGAAGCTAAGAAAGGTAAACTCTTACAAAGTAAGGACACATTTTTAAAAAATCAGAAAATATTTTAAAGAAACATGCTTCTGCATATATGCGGAAAAAATAATTGAAGTCTTAGAAAGTGTCTGTGGGGGGAATTATTAGAAATTCTAAGGATAAAAAGGTGAAAAATCGGTTAATCTAATTCTTCCAGAACAGGAATACGCACACAAAATGCAGTTTACCTTTTCAGATTCACCATTGCCCAGGGAATCCCAGTAGGTGTGTTAAAGGCAGGAAGAAGTTTCTCAGCCAATTGCACTGCTTTGATCTTGAATATCTAGGTAAAAACATAAATACTCATAATTATAGCCATCAGTATGCATTTGCTGATCTCTATGGATGCACATCACAATGCACTCAGTAAAAAAAAAAAGGACATCATCTCTATGGCACCACAGAACATACAGCAATCAGAATGTTTGTAAACTGGATACTCTGTACCCAAGATACAAAGGCCTGAAACTACAATTTATTGAAAGTGAAGAACACGGTTTGGTGTTGATACTACCTTTATTTTCACCTGGCAGGAAACCTAAGAGAAAACATTAGGCTACCAAATTTTCAGCCAAGGGATACAAGCTAGTTCAATGTTAAGACAAAAGAAAGAGATGTAACCCAACTCAAACTGAGAGTCTATCCCCTCTCAAACTGATTACATTTTCTTTATGAACTATGTTATGCCAGTTGACCTAGACATCCTCCAAGACCATGGTTCCTAGCCCTCACTCCCTGTAATCGGTGTCTCAAGGTGTTTGCATGTGTGTAGGAAGCTTCTATGATTCTGCCTTGGTCAAGCTGTGCTGGCTTCTCCTACATTTTGTGTTGTCTTTCCCTTCACCAAAGTTAACACTTATCTACTATCTAGTTAGTGATTTCTCTCCTCCCCAAATGGCCCTGGATTACTGTAACCATGTTTATGTTTAAACATTTTCCACAAAGATTTAACAAGCATTACAAAAAGGAAAGAAAACTTAACTGTTCACATTCCAAGTTTACCTTAAGACTTACAAATGCTTTGCACCTCTCTGCCTCACTTGCTTTTTCAGTACTGCAAACAATAAATCACCTAAATATCAGTGGCCTCTAAACTCTTTTAAATCATGTACTATTATCAAGATGCATATAGGAAAATTTTTAATATTTTCTTAGCATTTTCCCATAGATAGGTTTGTGCACCCCACTTTGAAGAACACTGATTTAGAGACTCCAAACTGAGACTGGGTCATAATGCTTGGTTAGAAAAAGTAGCATATTCACCTACATGCCTCAAGTCTATCCCATCTCAAACTAATTACAAAGTGATTGGTTATTTAAGGTCCTATCTTTTCATTAAAGCCAAATGTTATTTATAAAATATTATTAAGGCCTTTAAATAACAATAAGTAGTTGAACAGACCAAAGTTTTGAGTTGTGAAAATACTAAACAATGTATAACAACATTATTGTGGGTAGAAAATATTAGAGAAGAATATGTGCAAGTAGACAAAAAAGAATGATGTAAGATGTTCTACAAGGTTCCTTAAATACAGTAAGAACCACTTAGCAGAACTTTTAATTAGATATACTTACATATCCACAATTTACCATTTCCTTTAATACCTACTTTAATACAAAAATCTCAAAAAAAAAAACAATAATTTAAGGTCAATATTTGAATATTATTCATCCCATTAATACAGAAAAGCAAATGTAAATTCATTTCTCTTGGTATTAATATTTATATGTTAACAAAGTCAAGTTACATTATACGGTAAACAGTATCACGTCTGTTTACCGTGAGAACAAAGGAACCAAGTTTTTATCTAAGAACTAGTATTGCTATTGTTGTTAGTTGTCTTCAAGTCCATTCTCAATCACGGCAACTCCATCGGTACAGACTAGAACTGCTCCATAGGGTTTTTAAGGCTGTGGCCTTTGGAAAGCAGATTACCAGGCCTATCTTCTGAGGCGTCTCTTAGTGGGTTCCAACTGCCAACATTTCAGCTAGTAGTTGAGTGCTTTGTTATGTATTTGTTAATCATATATTTTTTAAACATCTTTTCTAAGTATGAAACTAATATTAAAAATGACAAAATGATTTATAAATATAAACTTTTTCTGAATAGAAAACAGTCTCATTTCACTCACAAAAGTAATCAATAATGTATTGTCTAATTTTCAACTAACTACCCTGTGTAATTGATAACAGTTAACATACACAACAACCAATTCTAATGGACACTCCAAAGAGAAAACACCTAGTAAGGACACTGAGAAAATCTTCTTATATAGTATAATTATCTTAATTTATTCACAAATATATAAACTCTTTAATGATGAATATATTACAGAATTAAATTCTCTATCTTCAGAATCATATTTTGGTAGACAACAGCAAAAACTCCAACATATTTTAGTATACAATATCAATAGCTAATTTAAAATAAATTAGTTTTTCGTATGCCATGCAGACAGATAAGACAAAATCCAAAAGGTATCAAAGAGTACAAAGTAAAAAAAAAGTCACTTTTTCAGTCTTGTCCCTCAACCATCTACAATGCAACTAGCTATCAGTTTCTTGAATATCTAGTAAATAATGCGTGCTAGATCAGTTTCATGGTTCCTAATCTCATTTCCTGGCCTCCTACACACAGTTTGTCTATCTCTCCCTCACGCAGACTATCATACACTCTCTGAACATGGTTCTTTCACTTAATTCTATCTTGGAGATCTTTCCAAATCAGCACACAAAGGGCTACCTCATTCTCTTAAGTGGCTGCAGGATTACTCCTTAAATGAATATGCCATAATTTATGTAATCAGTTCCCTACTGATGGACATTTAAAATTGTTTCCAAACTATGTTGTTATTGTTAGCTGCCACCTAGTTGGCTTCCAACTCAGGTGACCCCATGCACAATGGAATGAAATGCTGCCTAGTCCTGCACCATCCCCATTATCAGTTGAAGATCAGACTGTTGTGATCTATGGGGTTTTCACTGACTGATTTTTGAGAGTGGTTCACCAGGCCTTTCTTCCTAGTCCATCTTAACCTGGAAGCTTCACTGAAACCTGTTCACCATCATAGCAATACACAAGCCTCCACTGACAGACAGTGATAGCTATACATGAAGTGCATTGACCGGCAATCAAACCTGGGTTATACACCTATATAAAAAAATAAATTCCAGAACGAGTAATTGTTGGATCAATGGGTATATTTATTTGTAATTTTGATAGCTACTACCAATCTGTCGATAGCTACTACCAATCTGTCCCCCATAGATGTTTTACTAATTTATACTCCTACCAGCAATTTATGAGTCGCTATCTGCCCGCATCTTTAACACAGAAGTTATCAAACTTTTGACTACTGTCAAACTGACAGGTGAAAAAGAATATCCTATTGTCATTTTCAGGAGAGCCGGTGGAGCAGTGGTTAAAGGCTGCAAACCAAAAGGTTGGCAGTTCAAACTCGCCAACCACTCCGTGGAAGACAGAAGTGGCAGTCTGCTTCTGTAAAGATTTACAGCCTTAGAAACGCTATGGGACAGTCCTACTCTGTCCTATAGGGCCTCTGTGCGTTGGAATCGACTCAACGGTAATGTTTTTGTTTTTTTTTTTTTAAACTGCCATTTTTATTTTCATTTCTTTTTATTATGAAGGTGGCAGACATTCAATGCCCATTCAAATGCCCTTTCAGCATACCATCATGTTCTGCAGAGGATGGAAAACTATACTTAACATTTTCAAGAATTCACTCTAGCTAGGGTTCCGGATATGGCCTACATACTGTCAACTACACACAACCATGTGAGATCTGAAAAACAGAAGTGAGCAATATGAGGCAGCAGTCACATGATGGAAGGCTGCTCTTCCTGTAAACACAGTGCTGAAGGTATCTGATTCTTCTGTGGTACCTCTAGTAGTTGTTCCAGTGATTGGTCCCTAGCTTCATAGGTACCATAAGGGCAATGAAGGCAATGGAGTTTGTGCTCAGTTAGCTCAATGGTAAGCTTGGGCATTTCCCTTGCTTGCATGGTTCCTAGCTGTGTAACAAAAATACCCAATGTCCTGCCCTTCCCAGAGAGTCTGTTAGCTACTCTGTAGCCTCTAACAAATCACTAGCTAAAATCAATTCTGTTTTCTGGAATTAGGACTCTTGACTGATAAAATGATGAATGTGAGTCAACTAATAACATATACAAGTGCCTAAATAGTATTTAAATGAAGACTTGTAAAACATTTCACTTACATAAAGAAAAAACTTTATTTGTTAAATATCAGCTATGCAAAATCTTCCAATTATTTTTGTCAGAATATTATAGGCAATGGAAGCAGGCTAAAACGGGTCCTAGGTTTGGAAGAATTAGCATTTAAATAATGGTCCTAGGTTTAGAAGAACTAAAAGAAACTGGTTTAACAGATACAATGTAGCAAGATTATGAAGAGTTTTAACATAAAGGCAACAAAACATAAGACAATAGGTAATACAGAACGACTGCAGATTCTCGAGGAGGGGAGTGACATTAGAATGCACGTGTTTTTAATTGTTTTCTTTATCAGATTACTTAAACGTTCAACCTAGCAATCAAAGTAAGAATGTTAAATATAAGTCAGTTTAGAACCCTCAAATCGTTCCCTGTCTCATTCAGAGTAAAAGTCAAAGTCCTTAAAAAGGCTATAAATCTCTGTATGAGGCGAATCCACATCACTTCTATGATCTCATCCCCTACTTCTCTCTACCTTATGCATGCTATTTCAGTAACGCTAGCCTCTTTTGTTGTTTTCTGAGAATGCCCAGTTATGCTTTTGCCCCACTGGCTTTTCATTTGCTGTTCCCTTTGACTATATCCTCTTCCTCATGGCTCACTCTCTTATCTCCTTCAGGTCTTAACATAAAAGTTACCATCTCAGGCACTCCCTGGACATCCTGTTTGAAATTACAAAGTCCTTATTCCCTTTCCCTGCTTCAATCTTCTCCTTAGCACTTATTACTAACAGTGTACGTATGCATTGTATATGTGGTTATACAAACACACTCTCTCAATTTCTATCTTATTTACTGTCTGTTTCCCGCATAGTAGAATGGGAGCTATAGGTGGACTGGAATGTTTTTGTTTTATTCACTGTTATATTGTCAGTGCTTAGAAGAGTGCCTAGCATATAGAAGGTGCTCAACAACTGTTGAATGAAGCAATTTAATAAGCCAAAGGGTACAGAGTTTTATCATGAGCAAGTAAATTCTCTCCTCCATCTTCTACATCAACCTCATCTACCTGAGATACCTGATGTTAAC